TTTTTTTTTTTTTTTTTTTTTTTTTTTCCTACGACAGAGGGAATTTCTGGATTCAGGACTAAAGCAGGGATGGCTGTGGGAAGACTAAGGCTGCTAGGTACCCTGAAAGTCCCTAGAGGATCACGAAGCTGCCCTCCTCTTCTTGTAGGGGCCACCCCACGCTCCCCATCTTGGTCCACAGTACCCCAAACTGGAAGCTTGGACTGGACTCCACCCACCTGCATGCCCTCCCATGTGTCCTCTCAGCCACTTTGCAGACGTCTCTTACTGGGGCAGTTGTGTACCCCTGAGCAGATCCTCTTGCCTTTATTTCCTCTGCTCTTCTCTGAGTCCTGTGCATCGTGTTGCCAGGGGCACCACTTTGAGTGGCTCTTCCCATCCTGTTAGCTCAGGCTCAAAATTTCTCAGCTTGGCAGAGGAAGACTGGAACCTCCTGATGCCCTGGCTCCCAGCCATCATGCCTGAAACCATTCTGAATGAGGTTTAGGTGGAGGTGGGGCTGGGCAGAGGCTAATGGGTGAAATGTGAAAAAGTAAATTCATATTGCCTGTCTCCCACACCCCCACCATTTCCCCTTTAACGGTTGCTTTTGGTTGTCCAACTAAGGAAGATGTAGCCCAGGCTGGGGAGTGCGGTGGGTTACCATGGCAGGGCGGGTTCTCAGAGGGTGAAAAATGAAGATGAAAGATGTCTAGAGCTAGCCCCTTAGCGGACCCAATCATCCCTCGCTTCATCTCATCCTTCCTCTGCCCCCTAGTGGAGGGAGTGGCAGCAGCATGGCCTTGTCTGGGCAACCGGAGGGAGGGCAGGACACTTCCTGTCCCCTCCTGGGTAGGTCACGGGAGCCTGCTGAGTCTCCACTTCTGTCTCCATTTTGTTCTCAGACAGTGTGCTGCTGGCCTGGCTGTGACCCTGCGTGAGCCACTGTGAGACACTTGAGCTTTCAGCTCACGTTAGGAGCCTGAGTTCTTAGAGTCTTTGTAAAACAGTTTCAAAGCTGTTTCCTTACCCGGAGAATGAGTCTTTGCTGCCAGGGGAGGTGGGACAGAGGATTCTACAGTCTCAGTGTCTCTTTGTCTTTCTCCAGTTGGAACTGGCTGAGGACCATCACTGGGGGCCATTTCTCCCCTTCCCAGGAGTCTGGAAGATTCTCCTAAGGGCGTGCAGAAGTGGCTTCCCAGGGTCTGTCCCCAGCAGCTGAGTGCTCAGCTTTCATGTCCTTTTCTTTGTTTTCTTTCAGTTTCACAGAGTTTTTGGATCCATTCCAGAGAGTCATCCAGCCAGAAGAGATCTGGCTCTACAAAAATCCTTTGGTGCAGTCAGACAACATACCTACCCGCCTCATGTTTGTAAGTACGGTGATTTGGTGGCTGATGTGTTCACCATCCCAACTCAAACCAAATGGGCCTTGATCCTTGCTGTTCCAACCCCTGTTGAAGACAGTAGTCAACTTTAAATAAAGAGCAAAGCAGCCCATCCAGTTAAAACCCGCTTCCAGATCATGATGGGCACTGATTGCTCACTTGAGAAATTGTGATTATCTAGCATTTTGGAAAGAGAAGGAACTTGCTTACCTGAGTTATGTTGAGTGTTTCCACATAGTGACAGTGTAGTTAAAACAGATTGGAAGCGAATGACAAGAATTCTCTGTCCCCCTTTTCAGGATAATCCTGAAAATCACTCTAGAGAGCTTTGCTAACCACTTCTCTAGTTTGGGCTGAGCGGTTATTGATCACTGACAAGATTTCCCTGTGGTGGGTCAGGAAGTATCTCATTAGGTAAAGTACTTGCCACATGTGAGGGCAGGAGATTGGATCCCCCCAACTCATGTAAATGCTAAGTGGGTGTGGTGGCCAGCCTGTAATCCCAGCACATAGAAGGCAGGCATGAAAGCTGGACTAGGCAAATCAGTGTGCTCTAGGTTCAACTATGAGACTTGCCTCAATATATAAGGTGGAGCGCCATTGAGGAAGACATCAACTTTAACTAGAGACCTCTGTACATGCTATACACACACATACCTATGCCCACACACATGCCAACAGAAATACACACATGTATACCATACACCCAGACACAAATGAAAAAATAAAAAGGCTACCCCATAGCCTAACTACGAGATGTTGTCTGTGTCTTTCTCCTAGAATGAATGAGGAAACACCCAAGCGGCTGGTGGATATAGTGGGCTTATTTTTACCTCCTTCTCTTACCATGTGGCAATTATAGCCTTTGACCTTTCCCTCCCTGTGTGCCAGTACCTATGGAAAGGCTACCTCATATAGTCCCAGCCTGTGTCAGAGAGGAAATGGTCATTACTATCCACAGCCTGCAGGGTCAGAAGTGCTTCCAGAGAGATGAGGGGACTTTCCTGAAGCCACATGGTGAGTGACAGTGTCTGATCGGAGGTCAGCTGTCCACCCTGAGACTGCCCTGGATGTTCCAGAGGATCGGGAACTCCTTACTGATGCACAGTCACTCTTGGAGCATTGCCAGTGAGTCATTCTGTAGCAAAGGAAGCAGTCACATGCTCCCTCCACCGGAAACAATAACAAAACTTTCAGATGGGCTGCCTAGCGGCTTCAAGGTGATTCCTGTTGACCCACCATGATGCTTGTGCTTCTGGGGACTACAGTGACTATTCCAGAACATTCACAATACACATGGGACTGTTTGAAAGAAATCCCTTTATTTCACAGAGGAAAGCTTTTTAAGTAACTATGGTTGGAAAAAGATATTCATATCTGCAAATGGAAATGTCTTCTATACTGCGTGAACATTCAGGTGTTATTACAGTTGCTTTTAATAATTACTTTTCAGCCTGGAAAATGAAATCAATTTCTGTAAATTTTAGGCAAAGTGAACTATTAAGGTCGGTTGGCAGTAGGGCATGACAGATACTCACATATTACAATAAGATCCTTTTCCAATTGTATCCTAACTCAATAAATCCCAGATATGAAGGAACCAGTGTGTTGCTAATGACTTCACAGCACAATTAGGGGAAAACATCTGTTTATCACTCAGACCCATTCTTCCCAGGGTTTTGCATTTCATGTGCCATAAAATGCAATTTGGAGCTGAATGTTTGTATGGGAAATGGAGAGAAATTCACGGCTCTGGCCTAGATTTATGAACAATGGATTGATTTGAAGAATGGATGAAGATGCCACAACGATTCTGTCTAGAGACACAAATGGGAGGAAACAATTTGCACATGGCTAGTGGTTTGGATGAGATGCAAACAGGTCATTTTGCGCTGATTTTTGAAGAATAGACGTGTATTTGGCTGCATGCACTGACTCGCTCTCTAACCTTATAGTGAAACCAGGTCAGTCTTTTACTTTGCTAATAGTGGTTGATGGAGCACATGCATCTGGCTACCAGATTCAGTGCAGTCCACAAGAGCAGCAGGAGAGCAGAAGCGCCATTTGAAATACCTGCCACTCAAGGGTGGAAAATCCTTTGTCATTCCGTAATTAGATTTGTTCGCCTAGATTTTATTAAGAACTTAATGTGAGCTATTGTTTGCCAATTTTGGGTCCTGGGAAACTTTCCCAGTGACTGCAGAAGAATGTTGAGTGGAGTATATAGTCTCCCAGATGTCTAATCTAGATCAGTTTCTCTTGGAGGCACATTTGTCAAGTGTGTGTGTGTGTGTGTGTGTGTGTGTGTGTGTGTGTGTGTGTGTGATGGTGTGCCTGTCATAGTCAGAGAAGAGCTGTGAGAGTTGGTCCTGTCCTTAGTCTGTGTGGGTTCCTGTGATGGAATGCAGGGGGTAGCGGTTTGGCAGAAAGTACCTTTGCTGGCCTGTCTGCCTCACTGGCCTAAATTGCATTCTTTCATTCATAAAATCTTGGCTCTTTCATGTAGGTTGGAATGTTTCCATCTGAAGGTGAATTTTCTAACTTTCTAACTAAGATGTTTATCGAGTAATTAGTGGCCCCAAGTCATGATTCATGAGTGTGTATGTGTGTACATGCATGCACGCATGTGTGTTTGTGTGTGTCAAAATCATTTGGTCAAATGTAACCAGAAAAGCAATATAGTGAAAGTTTGGTGACTGGGTCAAGTGTGATCAAAGGGAGAAGAAGTTGTATTGACATCCTCAGAAAAGGCTCAGCTCATGTTTTATCTGCCTGTGGCTCCTACAGTGCAGGTAATGGGTCTGGGCATGGTGGGACTGTTTGATGCCAAGATCATGTTTTCCCATGATGACCAGAGAGACAGACCAAGGATTCTTTTAGAAACCCTGAGTCTTGACTTAACATTTCTTCATCATCCCCCTAGCACTCAGTCCCCCGCCAGAGGCTGTGCTGTTATTCAAAAGAGGTCATGAGTCCTTGCTGAGTGTGTGGGGTTTATCAGAGCATGATTAAACACCTGCTATTGGTGCAGGGAATGCCAGTTGGTCATGAATGTGACTTTGTATACCCTCTGTTGATGTCATGTTGTGCATTCAGGGCATACTTGCAAAGAACATGCTATAGGTAGGGGAGCCCACAAGGGCTGTGGAGAACAAGAAGTCAGGTCAGGCATGGACTGTACCCTCAAGGATCCTGCTATACTCTGATATAAAATAGGATCTGGAAAGGTCAGAGGGGAGATTCTATGGAGCTTCTTCACCTTCATCATCATCATCATCATCTTCACCATCATCTTCCTCACCACCATCTTCATCACTACCACCATCATGAGCTACCACAGTGGCCATGGTTTCTTGAGGACGGTGCTTGTGCTCCACACATAGTGAGTGGCATCTCAGTTGATGCTTCTCAGAATCTCTGATGGCACCATTTTTTCATCAGCTCAGTAATCTGAGGATGAAAACCCAAACAACTTTACCAAGGTCTTACAACTGTTAGAAGCTAGACCAGACCCTCTCAGAACATGGAGAGGCCCTCAGGCTCTGATGCCACCTTTTGTGGACTTGGGTGAGGTGCAGAGCTGGTTCCAGCATGTGACACACAGAAAATGCAGACATAGAGGCTCCAAAGTGGGAGGACAGGGCCACATGGACCCACTGAGTCAGAGTTTATTGGGGAGCACCTATCGGGTGAACTGAGTCAGAGTTTATGGGGGTGGGTATCTATAGGGTGAGGGTGCAGATAAGGCAGGGATGGAGCCAGCTGGTGGATGCCTTCAGATTAATGATTATTATTGTTGTTCCTCACTACGCAGGCAGTGATGAAATAAGGACCTGCCATGAGCCAAGCCCAGGGCTGGACAGTAGGGATGCAGAGCTGAATACGATGTGGCTTCTAGTCGAGTGGAGGTGCAGACCCAAATGTCAGCTGGGCAGTTCAGCACTGCTGGAAAACCTTTAAAGACCAGTTTAGACTTAAAAGGGAAACTGAGATAGAGTTCTGCAGATTTTCCCCTTGTCTTTCAAGGAAATGTCCAACTCATTTTCTTTGTCTTTTGTGGTTATAGCCAGAGATCACCTGATTTCGTCTCCCAGAATCTTCCTGTCACTGTGATGATTTGCTAGGAGGATTTACTATTCTGGGATGCTTTTAAGGAAGATGGGAACTAGTCAGTTCCGGGAGAGGACGGAAGGAGAAGACAGACTTTGCTGATGATAGACAGTTTAATTTGTAGTCTCTTTTTAAGTCATTGACGGCCCTTTCTTTCGTGACAGGTTGCCATTGTTTACCCAAAGTGGGGCCTTTGCTAGGTGTCTGCGTGTGTTGGAGTTATCTTTAAAATCGCTTCACTGACCACTTTTATGTAAGGTGCCAGAGCTGTAGGCACTTTGATCCTGTGCTGTGACTTGAGTGAGCCTTGGTGGCCGCCTCCCCGGCTGGAATCTTGACATCAGAATGTTGCGGACTGGACTCCTTCAGTTGTTGAAGTTTCCTGCTGTGGTCACCTCCTCCGTCTGCAGATAGGCTGCTCTAAGCTGCGCCCTTTCCTAGACACGTCTGGGACAGCCTGGTGCTTTGCAGCAGCGCTGAGGCAGATCCCGTTTCTAGGTGGAGTAGAAACTGGACACTGAGGGCACTTCCTACATGGGGTTCACTAGTCGGTACACAAGGTGGGAACCCACTTGGAGACAGTGGTCATGTAGTACTTGGGCAAGATGCCTGGGAACCTCTGTTTTTTATTATTTCCAACCTTCTTCCTTTGCCCAGGATTCTCTACTCAGGTCATGTGGGTTCATGTGAAGCACACTTTAATCCCGTATGATATCCTGGTACTTTGTGGGTATATTCTGAGTACATGTTAACATTCATTTTGGCATATGGTGAGACATCATGCAACAGACAAGGGGTGGGAGGGGATGGTAAATATAAATATATCTCTGCTCTGTCTTGGGCTCTTTGCTCCCTAAGAGCTTATATCTTAAACCACAAGCAGGAAAAGATGGACATGTGGCTTTCTAAACTACAAAACCCCCAGTGACATACTTCTGCCAGCACACCTTCTAAGTCTTCATAGATGTTGCTACCAACTGGGGACAAGTGTTCAAACGCATGAGACTACATAGGACAGTGCTTCTCAACCTGTAGGTCATGACTGTTGGAAACCACACATTTCTGAAGTCCTAGGAACCCCCAACCATAAATTTATTTTTATTGTTGCTTCATAACTGTAATTTTGCTCAGTGTCTCAGTTCCTAAGATCATCAAAAACATGTGTTTCCAATGGTCATGACCCACAAGTTGAGAACTGCTGATGTGGGTCATTTCTCCAAACCACCATACATGGCCAGGACAAAGACATGAGACTGGTGTCCCCAGTGTTGCTGGGACATAGGAGAGATCACACCCCGCCATTGTCCACAGATACTCCTGTTCAGAGATGGAGCACTCTGTCAGGTTGCAGCCCTTTTCTGGAGCTCTTGAGGTGAGGAAATGAGCTGTCCCCACTCCCCACCCCAGGCTTAGTACTGGCTCAGTAAGCAGGCGATTGGTGGTCATAAGAATGACCCCAAATAGCACCTCCTTAGGAAAGTTGCAGAGTGGGTACAATGAAGGCTGGTCTTGGCAGAGCCAGAGGGGAGGGAGACCTGGTTAAAAACAAGAGGTCTGTGTCAGGGGATGATGCTGAAAGAAAGTCCTCTGCCACCAGGCCCCGGTGACTCCCCAGCTCTCATTCCTGGCCGTGAGCCCACATGGTTGTTACCTGATGCCCTATCCCCTATGTGGGCTAAAACGGCCCACTCTATAACCTCTTTTACTAGCCTTAGGGCCTCATGGGAAAGCCTTTCCCACTCATAGTTCATTTGAAATTTTATTCCTGCCTACACACATGGGAGCATGCCGGCTAGGGAGGTCTCTTAATGCTTTCTTCTGTCCAGTGTTTGTTATCCTGTTGAGGCTTGACTTGGTGATGTTGTCCTTTCACGTAACTGTTTGGTGACTTGCTCTCTCCTCTTAGGGAGCATGTGGCATGAACTATACCTAGGGCTTTAAGGGATGGAAATGATTAGGCTACTGAGCTTGGAGATGAAAAGGATTCTTGAGCCTTGACTGTGGTCTTGGCTGTTAGAAGGAGGTATTCTGGACATCAGTTTTCAGGATCTGAATGTGAAGATGTGTTACTTAATCAACAGCAATTGTTTGGGATGCTTGTTTAAAAAAAAAAAAAAAAAACGATCCTTGGTTCCCAGACTGGTCGTACAAGTATGCCAGCATGTCTGCAAGCCCTGAAGTTACTCAGATATGAGCAGTTGACTTCCAGACTCCAACAGTTATTTTCAAATAACCCATGGCATCCAGAGCCACAACTAAGGGGGACAACCCTAACCAGTTACTACCTCTCATGGTCACAAAGACATGATGGCAAATAAGAAGGAAGGCTGTCTGATGTCTCATAAGCCATCTCTGAAGAAGTACCCAAAATAATTGCCTGAAATGGGAAGAGGCTGTTTTGAAAGGTCATGGTCATTTGCACAAATTCCAGCCATGACTTTGTCCCATCAGGAAGCTTCTCTGTAAAAAATGACGATCTCATCTGAGCACACTGAAGAATTCCTAAACGGGAACATAAGGGGTCCATAGTTCCCACCCCCTCCCATCACTTACTGATTGATGCAATGTTCGGTCCATCCAGACACTGTTATCCTGAGATGTTACCCATGAAGAGTTAAGTAAATACCTTTCCTCCTGGAGGCAGTGGTAATTAAAGAAACTCTATATTGGAGGCAGAAAACTGGCTTAAGAAGACCAGCCTCGGGCTGAAGAGATGGCTCAGCCATTAAAGGCCAGGCTCACAACCAAAATTATAAGAAGTTCAGCCTCATAGCTTAGAAGCTGTGTGACCCCAGGCCCGTCACTGAACCTGAGAAGTTGTCTCAGAACTGTCTCGAGTCTAATGCAGTTCCTAATACAACCTCCTGGGGTGCTTTAGGATGTGTGTGACTGCATGTGGACCTCACCAGCTTCATTCCAATGTGTGTTTGGGTAGATGGTACCTGAGGTACCTTTCCTGTGGCCATAACCAAATACCTGACGAGAAGCTACTTAAGGAAACACAGATTGATTTTGGCTTACAGTTTGAGGGGATATAATCCATGATGGTAGGGAAGTCATGCCAGTAGAGGCAGGAAGTGGCTGGTCATGTTGCATCTGAGGCAGGAAGCAGAGAGGTGGGGGAGGGAGATGAGTGCTGGTCTTCAACCTCTTTCTCTTTGTCATTCTGTCTGGGACCCCACCCACGGAATAGTACTGCTCAGAGCTGGGTTGTCTTCCTACATGGATGAACCCAATCTGGAAACTCCCTTACAAACATATCCAGGGGTTTGAACTCCAGCTGATTCTATATCTTACGATGTTGGGAGGAAGAATTTGAATGAAAGGACTCACTTCTAACCTAAAAGCGAGAAGAACTCCAAAAGGGGACGAGCTGATTGACTGTCATTAAGAAGGCCTACCCTCTCGTGTTTCTAGGGAGGTGGAACCAGAGCCTGGAGTCACACTCCTCAAACACACAAGGCGGGGAGAAGGGGGCGTTCCAGGGTTTCCTGGTGCTGATGAACTATCATAATGCTACACTGTTCTTTACTCTTTAAAAAGCTCCCACTTTAAATGTGGCTCAGAGCAATTACAAATCAATTAGAACCTGCAATCAGACCTCTAGTTTCCCAAGCCTGTGTTTTCGCTGCAGATAGACAAATTGCCCTTCTTTGTTTAAGGTCAGTTCGGTAAGGTCATTTGACTAGCGAGTTGAAGTTGACGGGGACTAATTAAGAATTGCTACATCTGAAGCAACTCAGAGTCCTCATGAGGGATTATTTGTTGTCTCTTCCAGGCAATTTCTTTCCTCACGCCCTTGGCTGTCATTTGTGTGGTGAAAATTATCCGGCGGACAGACAAGACTGAAATTAAGGAAGCCTTCTTGGGTAGAGTATTCACAGTTCTTGCTTAGGGGCTGGGAATGATCTTAATTAGATAATCACATTTGGAAAAGAAAAACCTAACTCATTTACACCCAACTGATTTTTTTCCCCCTTTGGTCAAAATTAAACTCTGGGAAAATAAGACAAGATAAGCTTAAAAGGTGCCAAGTCAATGTGAAGTAAAGGGCACTCACAAGCGGACATTCTCAGAAGGTGCCCAGCATGCCTGCATGTGCATGGATCACACGCGCACAGAGAGAGAGAGAGAGAGAGAGAGAGAGAGAGAGAGAGAGAGAGAGAGAGAGAGAGAGAGAGAGAGAGAGAGAGAGAGAATGAATGAATCAGTCAATCCTACTGGGGTGTTCTAGCAAGCAAGGTAATTTAACCTGTGTCTAAATCTCTAGCTTTTTAATCCTCTGGAGAACTAAATTGGATATGTATATACTTTAAATAAATTATCTAGACCTTCATCCCAAGCTTGGGTTTAGTATATTCTATGGACTTGCCATCCTCTGGGGTGGTAAGTCTGGAAACAGAGGTTCCTCCCTAAGGGATGTGTTTGTTAACTACTGGGCTTAGGGAGAGGAAGATGCAGCACAACACTCCTCTCTTTTCCTAGTGAGGGAGAATGAATGAGGCAGAGTGTGTGTCTAAAGGAGGAAGAATAGAGGCCATTTTTATGTAACCAAGCTTTAGTTAAGTCTGTCTAGTTGAAAAGAATAATGTTGAGTTTCCTTTTCAAATGAGCTCGAGTAAATAATGGGTTTAAAGACAGAGCTAAAATAAGCAATCTTATCAACTCCAAGCAAAGGGGGGCTAACACAGCAGTGCCCCGTGGGGCTGCAGTGGGGAAGAGCTGTAGTGTCAAGATCTCACAACCTGCTCTGTCTCAACTATGCCCGCCCTCATCTCCCCCACTTCCTGTCTCCTCCCCAGCCTGGACTTGGTTTCTTCTGCCCCAGACCTTTGCTTCCTGTGGGCCGTGGGCTCACAGTGGTGTTGCTTTCTCCCTGCACGTCTGACTGTTCAGCCGTGGTGCTGAACATGCTCCCCCCCATGCTCACTCTGTTCTTTGGTCCCAGGCTCCTAGATGGAGACTTTGACTCCCTTGTTTCTCCAGGCTGAAAGCAAAGCAGTCCTGACTCTGGCCAGCCTGCGGTTACAGGCTCTCTCTCTCTCTCTCTGTCAGGTCAGGTGCATGCTCCAGGCTGCTAACCTGTAGACTGAGAGTTTGGCCACATGACCTGGGTCTCTTTAGTTGTGATGACAGAAAGTTTTAAGTGTTTTCATGGGGCGTGGGGGCATTGGTACTTTATCATGCCTGGCTTTAGTGGCAGGGCAGTATTTGGGTGGCTATTCCTGTGGTCCTTACTGCATTCTATTGGGCACCCTCTCTGTTGGTTTGGGAATCCCTTCACCTCATGTTATATTGTAGCTGATGCCTCACATAGAGTCCCAAGGTAAATGACAGTGGGTAGGAATGGCTGTCACTGTTGTGGCTGTAGTTTACTGCTGGCTATGGAGCTGTGTTCCTGTGATGTCTCTAAGCAGCCCTGGCTACCTCCTCTAGACATTTTCATTCCCAGCTAAATCTCCCTTAGGGTGACGCTTCAAAATTGAGCACCATACCCTGCCTCCTATACGGTAACTAAAAAGGAATTATTGGCTGTTCTGTTTGCCTAAATCGATGAGTTCCTGTCCAGAAAATGACGAAAAGCCAGCAGTGTGCACAGAGGTTGCAAACAACCCATGCTTTCAGGCAGGGTTGGAGGCAGGAAGGGCGACCTTCTACATCAAAGTCGGAAAACTAGGTGGTTTCGAATCAAGCCTGGAATTCAGAACTCTCTCAGGGAGGGGAGCCTAGTTGTCCTTCTGTACTGAGGATATATCGAAGATTTTAACTCAGGCACTTACAGCCGAGCCCCAAGTGTTCCCCACTGCTACATACAGACAAGAATGGTGGTGTTTCCCCTGTGCAGCATCTAGCTTGCAGGCATTCGGGCTATAGAATAACCAGGAACTCTGATATGGAAAGACTGGCATGCTGGGCTGCCTAAAACTACAAAAATAACATCGAAAGCTTTCAAGTCCTCTGGCATACCCCCCCCAAACTCCTAGTACCCTCAGAACCAGCCCCAAGCAAACCAAGCTGTAGGACATGCCACTTTGAATTTCTTTATCAGTCAGTCTTGTTTGTGTTTCTGATCCATCAGTCAAAATGGTGCTGTCAGATGCTGTAAAAAATACCACGTGAGCTAGACCTGTGGGGCTCTTGGTAGTCAGCAAGTATTCTTGCCTGGGGCTGTGTATTCTCCTGGCTTTCCGGGCACCAAGGATCTGATCAGAGCCCAGTCTTCATTCTAGAGAATGAGGAACATTGGAAGAGATACCTCACGGAAGGTCCCTGCATCAGTACCCTGTCATTTTGCTGCCCTCCCATCAGTACCCTGTCAAACTGTATCATTCAGATAAAAATTCATCAGTCCCATGTAATTCCAGGATGCTAAAGCAACTCCCACGCTCCCAAATGTCATCACTCGAGCTTACCATCCTTCTCTGTCTCTTTCGAGCATTTGGATCACACAGCGCATTTGCTGGTGTTTTCTAGCTCACTTACTTCAAGCCTTTGGAAAGACTGTACTGACTACAAGTCTACTCAGCCCCGAGTGTTTATGGGGTGTGTTGGGCTCTGGATCAATGGAGCTGTATATGAAGTTCACTGAGATTGATGTGGGACGATGAGAGATCAGCCAGTGATGCTTGCTCACAGATGGCTTCTCCAAACTGAGGCCGTGCTCCTAGGATAAGAAGGCATGGCGCTCCCCTAGAAAGCACAGCAGGGCCAGCGCTAACAGAGAAACGCCCACCACTGTCTGTCCACACTAGCTCACAGTTTGGTCACTCTCAGGACTCTGGGAGAACTCAGCCAAGACAGCCTAGGGGTTTTTTATGTCTTCTGCAGAAGAGAAGGAAGCTGGCATTTCCAGCAGGAAAGATCTGTATGTAAAGACTGTAGTCACTGGACCTTCTCATGTTCTCCGCACTCAGAGCCAATCTATACCCCGGGTTGCATGTTTGACGTTTTGATGGCAGTACTGTGGTACTGACTCATGTCCAGCTCTCCAACAGGGACCTGTCCCTTTTCCCACTCCATTCATATATGGCCAGGAATGCTTCATCTCCACTCAGGTGTTAGTTTCTCCTTTTCATCTCAGCCCTCCCCATTCTTTCTGTTTCTTACAACCTGCTAAAAGCGCGTGACTTTGTCTCCATCTCAGTAGCGTGTGCCCTGGTGGCTGGGATGGCTATACCACAGCACTTTCTGCATGTAGAGTGACTCATCTGTCTCCCTTGATGATAACGAATCACTTGATGAATGGCCTTCGTGAAAATGTCCCTCCACTGGGCTCATCTTACACAAATCTCTGCTGGTATCAAGGAGTTAAAATTTGCCAAAGAGAAAGGGTAGCTCACATGTTTTATTACTCAACAGAGCAGAAGAGCGCCTTCCTGAGTTTCTGTTGCTAACGTAAGACAGTTGACCTTCATCACACTGGCGGTGATGACTGTGCCCTTCAGGCCTCTTAACAAACTGTAGGAGGCCAGGGCACAGTTTGTGTAGGAAAGGGTGTTGATTCCCCTTCTGTTTGATCTGCCCCTGATCTAACAGATTTTCAGACTGCTGGGAGAAGGTCCCTGGGCTGCATATTTTAAACTCATATATTCTAGAAGTTCTTGCTGGTTTAGATGACAAAAGTTACCTCCTGGACTCTCTGCCCTCTTGGAAACAGTGATGGACAGCTGTTGGCAGGTGATGGGTCAGGGATGACAGAGGCCTAGCAAGGCTGTCCTGCTCTTCAGAAGGAGTCTGGCAGCTGCTCTGATTCGAATTATGTCTGGGGAAATTGCCAGGAGGTAATAAAAAAAAGTTATGTCTTGCTACGAGTAAAAGAAATTCTACACGCTGTTGTTGTGTTAAATCTGTTTATATCAGGCTAGAAAGTGATGGATGGGCTTGTTTGTGAAGCTGAAAATTCTGGTCAAGAAGGAAAGATTTCATGTCATAGGAATGTGGCATTTTATGGGACAACCTCCATAGTTCTGCCCCAATTATGTTTTCCCCTAGCAACAAAGCTCCATCATGTTCCAAGCGTATTATTTAACAACTCTGTGATCATAAACTAAGTGCAGTTAGAGGTGGTGATGATGATAGTTGTGATGGTAATGATAGTGATGGCTGATGGTCACAGTGATGGTGATGGGTGATAATAATGGTGATGATGGTAGTGATGATGATGGTATGTTGATGGTGCTGGTGATAATGGTGCTAGATGGTGATGATGATGGTGGTGGTTCGAGTGGTGATGACTTTTTAATGTGAGACCCAACTCTTCTTTTTCTGTCTGTTGGTTTTGTTTTGTAGCGGTGTCCTTGGCTCTTGCTTTGAATGGAGTCTGCACAAACACTATTAAATTAATAGTGGGAAGGTAAGTCTCAAGAAGAAACAAATGCTCCCTTATACTACCAAGTTCATCTCTATGGGAACCATGGCCAGAGGACACTGGGTAGGACAGATTCCACAGTGTCTGATTTTCCCTTAAATTGTTACCCTTCTGGGATTTCTGACCTTCAGTCCAGACCTTTTCTTTCCTTTGAACGATGAACTCATTATTTTTAGGGAGTTCACTAGGAAGAAAGTGTCCACTGGCTGACTGGCCACACTTTCTTTTGGCCCAAGCCTGCACTTGGCATTTCCAGAGCCCTCCACTGCTGTCCCAGCACCTGGCCAGGCTTATATACTTGTCAGTTTTGGCCTTTAACAAATTAATAAGATCACTTATGAATTGTTTTCTTTGGGAGGAGATGTATGGGTTGGCATTTCAGATCTGGCTTTATGACACACTTCTCTTACTACTCCTGAGAAATGATTTCTGATGTCCATTTGCTTTCCCTGTCCTCTTGGCTGCTCTGGTAGCGAGTTGGTCTCTGCAGCGATGAGAAGCCCCACGGCCTCTCAATACTGCAGCTCACTGGGGCTCCGACTACTAGCTCCTGGCCTTGAACAAATGAGATTCAATGTACAACCTCAGCATTTATAGATTATTGGCATGGTATGGGTGCTAAGCTAGGCATCAAGGGGTGGAATATGGGTAAATCTGGGCTAATAAAAGACACTGTGCTGGGATGTCCTTCCAGATCCCTCCATGCTTAACATGCACTTGGGACCCAGATGAAGTGCTGGTTCTAGGGCTCACCCCCTGAGGTTCTGGTTGAGTGGGTGGACAACCACACTGGAGAAACACTGGCCAGGTCTGGAAAAGACAGCACAAGAGCAGGTCTGATAGATCATAGAGGCATCTTATCTAGATCCCAGAGCTAGGAGGTTCAGTATGAGTCCGTATGTGATAACAATGACCCAGTGTGCAATGTCAAAGGGAGACGTGCTCGCAGTATTAGTAAACCTACCCATGTTATGTGCACAGAAATACTAGTTGAGTTGCTACAGAGTAGTGGGCTGGCACATATCCACACTAGAATCCTTGCTTGAGTAGAACACATGGTCAAATGTTGATCACAGGATTCGATTCTAAGGCTCCCAGCTTGTGTTTGCCACATACTGCTCATGAGTGATCTTGGCAGGAGTGTCATCTCCTTCAGACCCCTGATCCTGCCTCTAAGATTGCCATAGGCTTTATATGGCATGGTGAGTGTGCAGTGCCTGGTACTGCATATACACTCAGCAATAAGTTAATATTAGCTGTGGTTGCTCTGGAAGGTGTGGCTTCAGGGCCAGAGTCGCCCTTCTTTCCTCTAGAGCCCTCTGCCCGCTTCGGGCTTTAAGCCACAGACAGCAGCCTGGGTCACTGAACTCCTCATACTGTGTGGCTGAGTTTTCAAGTTTCCCAGCCAGGTTGAGGGCCACTGCTTGAGGAAAGGCAACTGACCACCAAAAATGGCATGTAGGGATGTCATGTCCTGGACTCTCAGAGACTGGGGGCAAGGTCTAGCTTGGTAGAGCAGTAAATCAAGAGAGGTAGTCCCTTCTCCTCTGCTGATACCGGGCTTCGGTGCCTCCAGGAAGTCCCACTATTTAATGCTCAAGACCTCACCTTTGCTCAGGTATTGATTCTCCCTTTTACAGATAAAGAAATGAGACTGGGCAAGGCTGAGATCTCCCTAAGGCTACACAACTCGCTCCAGTTGAGCTCTTTCTGACCCCAGAGCCTGAGGATCTCCCCAGAAGCTGTATTCAGGAGGCTCTGGGGAAACTCCTGTGGTTGTTGACAGAGGGGACTTGCAGAAGGGCGGGGGCTGTGGGGAGGAGGGATCAGCTTGGGGCTCGTTGTGATGGCAGCGTTGTATATTGAAAATGTCCATGGTGTCTTTTGTAGACCTCGCCCCGATTTCTTTTACCGCTGCTTTCCAGATGGGGTGATGAATTCAGAGATGCACTGTACAGGGGACCCTGACCTGGTATCCGAGGGCCGCAAAAGCTTCCCCAGCATCCATTCCTCATGTAAGTTCAAGGCGAGGATGCTTGTTCTCCTGCTCACTTTGGGGGGGGGGCATTTGAGTGAAAAGAACAGTTTTGGTGCCTGAATGTCAGCGTGGTGCGGTTTTCCTCACTGTGGGGTGGATGAAAAATAATGTTCCAGGGGAGGTCATGCGAGCTGGCAGCCAAGGCTCCAGACTTCACATAGTGCTGTGTATGTTGCTTTTGTGAGCTTGGAAGAATGTGGCATGTGACATTTCACCCCTGGATGGTATGACTCAAGAATTTGACAGTGCAAAGGGAACTTACCAAGCTCCTTGACACTGATGTTCAATTCAGCTTCATGTCTAGTCTTTGGTCAAGTTATGATACTGTGTGTGTGAACAAATATGGAACATTTATGCATATACATAATGCATATGAAAGTGTGTATGCTCACACACACCTCAGTGTATTGCAGATGCCAGAGCCTGGATTAGCCTCACACACAGACTAGCCTGAGGCAGCAGCAGTGTGATACAGCAGCAAAAGCACAGATCTCTGAACCGTGACAGGTCCTTAGTTCTTCCAATGCACCTTTCGGAGCCTCGGGTCCCACCGTGTCTAACAGAAATAGGACGGCCTCCGTTCTCAGTAGGAGTGAAGATTAAAGTCGGCAACAATAATTACTAACATTTCTGGAGCACCCTTCAAAGCAGGAGGTGGAGATTCATTGTTTTATTAAATCCCTCAAGTATAAGGCACTTGGGATCTGGACTTGTAACCATCGTAGCTCTCCCTGTTATTATTTATTTCCAGGGCTGGTGTTTCCATTCACTCCAACAGTGTTTATTGAATGACTCGGGCACCAGACATTGGTGCTTGGAATCCAGAGATAAATAAGACAGGGTATGGCCCTAGACACGCACAGGTGTAGCAGGTGTAGCAGGCTGTCTGTGGTGTTGTGACTCTTGGGGTAACTGGAGACAGCCTACGGCTGCAGGTGACTGACTGCGTGGAACGGGAAAGGCGCCTGTCAGACTGTGAAGCCCTTGGTTCCCCACACATCTGACCAGCATTTACTCTTGGCAGGCCTCTTACATTAATGGGATTTTTTTTTTCCAAATCCTGTGCTAAAGATGCAACTTACCAGTGACTGGCTGAACTGAGAAACATCAGAAAGCTTCTCTGTATGGACATTTTGCCTGGAGATACTGGAAACTAGGGTCTGTCAATGAGCTATGGGAGTGGCGGACACTTTAAGGGACCCTCAGCAACCCTTGTTGCGGCACTTCAGCCTTCCTGGTTGGGGCTGATGTCTTCTTACACACAAGACCATGAGACTCAGGCAGGATCAATTACTCATCCGAGGAAGGCAGCCTCTGGCATGATGGTGTTTTCAACCTCTCAACGATTTAATACAATGGAGTGTTCCTATGCCATGTTAGCTAAATAAATGCCTACAGCTGTGAAGGTTATAGTACATTGAATACTGTCCCCTAAGTAAATCCAGGCCCTAGTCCTAGAACTTATAAATCTGACTTTATTTTTAAAAAGGTTGTAGTTAATAATACCATAAAAAATATTAGAAATTTGCCAAGGGACTTACTTCAGGAGTTCTCAACACACACACACACACACACACATACACCACCACCACCACCACCACCACCACCACCATACCATATCACACCACACATACACACACCACACCCACACACCACACACACACACCACACATACACATACCACACACACACACACACACACACACACACACACA